AAAAAAAAAAAAAAAAAAAAAAGCTTTTTTTCTCATAATTCCTTATTCCGTTGTTATGTAATGTTCAGCGTAAAAAATTGACCGAAAATTAGTGCAAAAAATTATTGTTTACAGAAACAAAAAAGAACAAATTTATTGGCAGTAATTGTGTAAAATTGTTTTTTCTTTTTGCCACTGGTTTGGCGATAATTTCAGTCAGATTTCTGTAACGTTGTTCACCGTTGTGACAAACAGTTTCATTGGTCAAACTGTTTTGCTGGAAATCAAAACACAACTAACCACTGTTAAATAATGAAACCAATTTTTTTACAATCCTTAATTGTCAATTTTAAGTCATAAACTGCAGCAAAATAATGGGCTAAATATTTCTTTCTTTTTTCATCTTTAACACTTTCATTTTTCACCTTCATTCAGCTGCCTTCAAAAAAACTCAGACGATTGGGCATTCTAAACAAATTGTTTCTGTTTTGTGGCAATAAAAGAATATTTAGAAAGTGTAAAGGAAATTCTTTGTTTTTCTACAAATCCCTTTATTTTATGTTTGAGTACAACATTTTCTAAGCTTTATTAAATATGTAAATTAAAAAAAAGAGCTTTTTGGACAATTAGGAAAAAAAAGTACGGCAGCAGCTAATATGAGATTATATTTCTGCTACAGTCATTTGAACTACAGCTTCACCAATTATTCTTTAGTATTTTTTGAGCAAGGGAAAAAAAAAAGATAAAAACTGTACTGCCGAAAGAGAAGAAAGGAGAAACAATTGTATTTGACAGTTTTACTATTTCTTCAGACTAACCAGAACTCGAGAACTGTTTATAAAGTAAATATGATCATAACTGAAAGTTTCAACTGGTTTACTTAGCAAAAAAAAAAATGTGTAGACTATCAGTGATGACAATATTTTTTTCTGCGTTAAATATCTTTGAAAATTTTAATACAAATACTTACAAAACTTTTAGTAATTTTGTGCAAAAAAATTAACCCCCAACAACTTCTTTACAGTACCAATTTTTATTCTGAAGCTGAAAAATGGTGCATCAAAAATATCAGATAAATTTTATACTGTTTTTCACAGCTATTGGTTGAGGAGTCAATTTTCTCTTACTTCAACAATGAAATAGCTCCTTTTTCCTTCTTTTTGTTTCCTTCCTTCCTTTAATAGCGTAGAAAATAACGTATAACAACATTGATACGTACCAAATAAGTGCTGTGCGAAATGTGACGTGAACAAATATAAAACTGATATTGTTAAGTTGAAGGCGGTCATAAATTTTTGATCAATTCCTGTCGACAATTCACATCATTTATATACTTCTTTCAAAAACAGCAAAAGAATTACACATATTTATAACTATAGTTCTTTTCTTTCTACTTGTCTAAATTCAGACAAATCTTTGTCCATTTTTTCTTGGCTAGTATCAACATTTATTGCCGGATATTCTTTGAACAAATAACAACTGCAACATCCAAAAGCAAAGGGTACAAACATCTGGTGGTGCCAGTGACCAAAAAATCCAAAAAGATTTACATATCTATATATATGTGTTTCTTAGTGCATCCATAAGACTAAGTCTACGATAAATACTTGTTCAAAAATTTCAAAACCTCGTATAGCAAAGAAAAAAAAACAAACAGAAGAAAAAACTAAAATTTCACTGTCAAAGGTGTTAGGCGTTTACGGCAGTCAAAAACTTAATCTTCTAGAATATCAAATTTGAAAACCAAAAGCATTCTTGAAAAAATAGTAAACTTCTTTCTTCACTTTCAATTTCTACTCTTTGCTACAGATTAACATTTGAGTGTCCTTTTAATACGTGAAGCAAGTAAACGCTAGTAACTTGAAATTCAATGATGTGACTGCATTGGCTAACAATTTTCTACCACTCAAAAAAAAGGAAAAAAAAAACAAAGCTGAAACAGTAAAATGTCAAATCATTAAACAGTAAATGTCACACTTTTTGAGCCTTAAAAAATAACTTTATAACTCCAAAAAAAAGATCTTATTTTTATTAGCAAACAAAATTTTCATTAATACTGCCAGCGTTTTTAGCATGTAAGAGGAGAACTTTGATTGTATAAATAAATGAAATGTAATTTATTTGCATGAAACGGAAACCCTTCAGCGAAAACGTGTACTCAGTTTCACATCATTCTGAGCTCTAAGATGGTAGCAAATCTAACAGCTGAATAAAAGTTCAGTTTTTTCCCACTATTTACCACTGTTTGCGCTTCTCAGTATTCTCTTCATAACTTAAAAAACACCTAATCTTCTAGAAAACTACAACATAAAAAAAATTCATATTAATCCTACAAAAAAAAAATCTTTAAATTTAATTTCATCCATAACCCACCAGTATTTTACCGTAAAAATAAATACAATTTTTTTTACTAGCTCAACGGTTCCGAAGAAAAAATAATAATAAAAAAAAAAAAAGAATTACCATTATTACTGAATGTCACATTTGTATGATGTACAATAAACTTTTATTATCTCTGAACAGCAACTCATTTTTTCGTTACCTCTTCTTTTATTGTAAAAAAAACAAAATTCCCGCTGTTCACAACTTTTCAACGTGTTTACAGGGCACTTTTTACAGTATTTTGTATTTTAAAAACAAAGCAAGATCTACCTAGCCTAAATTTAAGATTAAACGTAAGACGGTCGAGCAAATAATGTTGCCTTGACCTTCAAAATCTTCAGTCAGGTACAATATCACATCTGCAAAACCATATAGACATAAAACATCAAGAAGTTTATAAAGCTTATTTAGAATCAATAAATGATGACCAACAAAGATCACAACAATTTCCAAAAACATTAATACCCAATTTTCAATAGAACGTGAATTTATGGTCCATATCACAACATACAACTCTTTAAAAAGATTTCTCATTAACATTCTACCAGCTTCACTGTCTGCACGCTGGGTATCATTCGTAACAAATTTAAGTGGTTTTAACATACAAGCTCAAAACCCCTTTTAAAAATAAACTCCTTAAATTTTAGACTTGGAAAAGGTAGGTATCAGAGACTTTGAAGTTTCAAAGGTATCTCAAAGGTCTACTTACCACCATCTTCATGATACTTCTCCCAGCATTCCTGTACTCAGAGTAACTAGTAAGAACAGTTCGGAAACGCAAGATGTCTAGCTTCAATGGAAGTAACACAAACAAAGTGCAAGAGCTCGTGATGAGAATGAAGTAGGTGAGAACGACCTTCAAAGAAATTACAAGTGCAAAACTTTTGAACATTATAGACGCACCGTTGCCAACAACCCCCAAAAATAAAAAATATATTCAATGTAATAGTGACAGAAATAAAGTGAAAACTGTTACTGAATATGCCTTTATATCAACGCAAAATAAGTTTCTTTATCTCAATAAACGCATTCCACAGTTAACAATGCAACGAAAAATACAATATTTGGCAACTTTGCAGTTGCTAACTGTAAAAAAATAAACTTCATTACAAAAAGTTTTCATACACCATAATCCAAATCAAAAATAAAACTATTTCGACAACAAATTGATAAAACTATTGTTTACGAAACATTAAAATACATTTGAAAATCAACTCAATTTACAGTAAAAACAGAGACAACTATACTACCACCCGTACAAAAAAAACACAATAATATTGGTAATAATACAAGTTTCTTCAACGGAAGCAGTAAAATAAATCCAATAACAGCATCAAAAATAAGAGAAAAGCCCATGGATCAGAATACAAGAGCCTATTAGCAAAACATAAACAGCTCCTTTTGAAAGGCTTACAAATTTCAAAAGAGCCGTTTTTATTTCAATACTTTTTGTTACCTCTGTTCCATTTTTCTACGTATAATTTGTCGTCTTAGATGGGTTACCCTTAGATATTAACTGAACAATCACTTAACAACAATCACAGTTTCAACGACAGATTAACAATGCAGCTGGGAATGTGAAGCGTACACTTTCAATAAGGCAGTAAACTAGCAAAAAACCAGCTACTGCTTCCTTTGAAAGCACTGACTGAGTAAGTTTTTGACGAATTCCGGTCAACAAAACCAGCATTATTCGGGGACTGACGTCAGTGTTGCAGATTTTTTACAAGCATCTCATCACTAAACATCCAACCAAGAAGTTTGCTACGAGAATTGTACACGAGCCGGCTTTTTCCCTTTGGGAAAGAGATGGTAAACAAACGGCCATTCCGCTGCACTCCAGCGTCCAACTTGCTGAATGTTACTATGCGATTTATACCATACAAACTTGGCAGTAGGGTGCGGAATTTTCCAATTAGGACCGTAATCAGCCTGGAAATGAAAATTTTAAACTTACCTTTTTAAGGCTGAATTAAAGAGTTTGAACAGAAAATACTCACGACGAGAACAGGTTCTACTTGGCAAGGCACGTTAAAAAGCATTCCTAACAAATCGCCCGTACAAAACTCATTAATTTGGGGATAACTCCATCGAAGCTTCATTTTCTTCCCAACTATCATGCCACCAGTCCAATCGGTGTTGTTACCACGGTAGATAAAGAAAAGGTCGATTTTTATCCCCATTGAGTAGACACTTAACTCCAATGAATCAGTTATCTACAATGAATTTTAGAAATTTACTTCCTATTTAAGCACTCAGATTTTCTATTTCAATATTTTCTGCTAAAAGGAATTAGTACAACGCAAAAACTGTTCCCAATTAACACAAAGATTTACCTTTCCAAGTATCCAATACAAACTAAAAAGTTTGGTATTCTGCATGTCGTAAAGCATTTCCTCATCCAATTCTTCTATCCTCATTGCGAAATCGACATCAGATGTGTCTCGTATAAAGCTACATTCTCTATACCATCCTAAAAAGATAGCACTACAAGATGTGCACCTACAAGTATCTTTCAATTCGTCTAAACCATCCCTGGATGCACATGAAAATTGAAATGACAGCAAAGTAAAGTCTAACCTAGAAGAGTTCCTCCAAAAATGACGAGTGAAGAATGATATTTTTCGACAAAATCTCGAAAAATAACAAGTTTATGTACATATTTTTCAGGAATAACACGTTTAGCAGTAGAAACATTAAGTCCTAAGCAGTCGATAAATTTGGAATTCTTCCACTTTTTTTCTAGCTGTTCAACGTTCTCAATCAACTGCACTTCCAAATTTCCTTTCATAAATGTGTGGAGCTTCAGTCTGCAATTCTCAGAAGCCTTTTGTAACCAATATGAAATTAACGCTTATAGTAGAGTCACACAAAAAAATCTCTGCCCAGTCTTAATTTCCATAAGGACCATTAAATTCTGAACATACCCGTGCAAAGCTCTTATTCCTTCTGAAGTATATATTTTGAAGTAATCACCAGATTCGGCCATTTCCATCGGTAAAACCTTAAATCTGCCGTAATTTGCTGCATATTCCTTGTCCTTCGTGGCCAACAAGATTGTCCCATTCTCAGAATCAAGAGGTCCCAGAATGAGAAGATGCTTGTACAGGTACACAAATTTATTTTCTGCAGCTGTCTGCAAATATCAAGACTACAAATGAATATGCTAGAATATGCTCAATCATCTCAAAATAATTTATCCTCAACAGTAAAGGTCCTTAATTTTGTCGAACTGTCCGAGGCCGATTACCTACTATTCTAGAGGCTCAACTGTGTAACAGAGACAAAGAACCACTAAAATATTCAAGCCCCTAATAGAGCTGCAATCTTTTTCCTTCACCGCAAGTGACGTTAAACTTCATGACATAACAAAACAAGAGAGGAATCTAATTAAGCTTAAGACTTTGAACAATTTTATCACCGTACCCACTGAGCAATTAACGCAGGTGACTTATAAGAACTTTGAGAACAGCCAAAAAACCAATGCGCGACCTATTTTTCAAAAATTCGCACTCCAAGTTGATAAACAAAATCAAATTCTCAAAAAATTAGTCTTTAATCAAAAGAACTGAGTGCTTATAAGTCTGATCTTGAGACCCTACATTTTGATGAAAACAGTTTAAACCAGTCTACAGAGAGCAGCCTTCAGATATTAATGATAAATTTGCTCTTGGTAAAGTGCGCTGTACTATGCTGCACAATCGCTATAATAGGCATCTAACCGGTGGGATTCACTAGATTACTACCAGCGCTGTCAATTGGTGAATAAGAACTTAGCTGATTGCGGCATTGGTCCTTAGACAGATAAAAGTTTGACAGAACATCATTCATCCAATATACCCTTCCAGGTTTCCTACTTAATAACCACATCTTTTTTACCCTTCTATGCAAATTTTTAACTGGAAAAGGACCAAGTAAATTTGCTTTACTTCAGCGTACCAAAAAAAAGTGATTATTTTGTACACTAATTTTCTGCGAATTATTTACTGCTTTTACGACTCTAGCATCTGGTACACCCTTTATTGCTCAAATTTTTCTAAAAAAGGACTGCTTACCGCAACTGATGCGTAACACAAATGCCCCAAATTTGACGTCATACCTATTTCTTTTCAGTAGTGCATTATTAGCAACTGTGCTACTACAGTATGAAAAGTTTAGTTCAAAATTGTAAGCAAATAAGGAAACGGAATTTTTATAAGCATTCTTTCCTAAAAGTTTTCAATCATCACAATTATTAAACTGACTACGTTCGCATAAAAACTAAATTCAATAGTGACATTATACTCTAGAATATTAAACATAGGCTGCTATGTATAATGGTCGTTTAAGATAATTTTCCACCTAATCAAAGCCCAATTTATTCTTTATATTAGCTAAGAAGCCATGAGAGAGCTTCAAATATATTGATAAAAACTAATGATAAGTGAACATTAGTTGAAAAACTTTCACCATTCTAAGATCTCGATAAAGTACTGTATTTCACACCAAAAATTTACTAGAGTTTGAAAAAACGATAAGGCTTAAGAAACACTCTACTTAAAGAAGCACTTCTAAAAGTAAAAAGTTCTTAAAATTTCCCTAAAAATTGTGTACTTAAATGAATTATAACGGGGAACTTTAGGAAAAATAAAAAAATTTAACAATAAACGATTAATTTTTTATTGAGGTAAGCGAAAGTAAAATAGCCATATAACTAAGTAAACAACTGTCCATCAAAAAATGTTGAGAATTTTCAATTGGACTTAAGAAAAGAGAACTGAGGAAATACAAGGTAGATTGAATATGACATCAGTTGACGAACTGTACAAATTCTGTTTAAAATATCATTTAAAAGAAAATAATAAGAGTTCTTGTGAGTTGACGGTTAAAAGGCCAATTTTTTAAAGCATAAAAAGGGTAATTCCTTTGTTTTGATAAAAGAACCACTCTTTTACCCTGGTTACCAGTTTGACACTTTTTGTTCTGGGATTTTGGTTAGCCCCATAAATACGCATACTTTTCAACTCCCTGTCATTTTAAGCGAATGTTTAACGAGATACTCTACGTCACGATTATGAACTGCGTCTCAACCAAAACAAAGGCTTAACCAAGCCTTTATTGGATGTTAGCTATAGGCCCATCAAACTTTCAGTTTTAGTGCGGAGCAGTTAAACGCACAAAGTTTAAAAGAGTAATATAACTCTATCAAAAAAAAAAATAAATAAAATAAAAATAAAAATAAAAGTTGCATATTAATTATGAGTATGACTTACAATGTTCCTCAACAGTTGCAGATCCTCGTCGTTAATCTCAGAGACCAATTCATTGGAATCTTGGTAAAGACGAGGAAGAGATATTATGCAAAATATCAAGGCTAAGGCAACACTGACAATGAGTATACCAAAACTTCCTCTCCTATGATACTTCATAATCAGCGCATACTTGATAAAAAAAACTGGCAATTTCCTGACTCTCTGCGCTATCGTGC